TGGACTTTAAATTTGGAATTAACTAGAAAGAGAAATAGTAGTGGTATTAATAAAGGATTACACATGATAAAGGATTAGCCTAGATAAGTTAGTTGGAGTATTTACTGCCCTGACTTTTTACTGCATGCTATTATTTATGGTTCGTCTGATTTACACTTGTTTCTTTTGCAGTGTTATGCTTATAATACTGAAATTTACAAATTACTTTGATACAAAGTATGATTGAATTTTTTAGTCCAAAATTTCAAGACTAATTTCAAGTTTTTATAAAAGATTTCCTCAGAATTTTAAAAAAAGTTACTCAATTGTACCAAGTTGAAATACTGAATTAGTAAAATTGACAAAATAATTTTTCCAGAAAGTAAGAGAAATTAAAAAATACTTATTCTAATGGAATTCATACCTATTACTTATGAACATTTACTCCTTGGCTTTGCTTGTTTTTAAAATTTCATATTATGGGTTATAAAAGTAAAAAATGTAATTTTAAGCTATTTCTTATATGGTTATATGCAGTTGCAATTGTGTCACCTCGTAAAAGAAAGAAACTTCTATATACTTAATAAAGATCTTAAATGTCTCCAGGTTTTTTCCTAAATGAAAGCAGGTGTTGAACATTGTCATCTCCTAATACATTGAGATTACTAAAATATTTAATTATTTACCAGGATTTGAAGTAGTAACCAGATGTTTTCAGTTTTCCCAGGATGACTTTTGCATCCAAACATTTACAGTGGAAATGAACTAAGTTTACCACCTTAACAACAACAACAAAAAGCAAATAAAACACAGACACAAGTTGTTTCTTTTGAACCAGAATTGAAATGATATTCATTAAACTTACAATGAGCCTTCATACTTAACAGTGAGTTTCCATAGCCAAACCAAAAATAAGTTTGAAGTTTTCCCTCATGCTTAGCCATCTTTATTAGGACATATTTGAAACAATTTTTACTGGTTTTAAATATAGTTTTACAATTCTTAGTAAATAAATATACCTGAGCTACCATTATCAATATCCAGTCTATAGAAGTTTTATTGCATATATTTGAAGTATACAATTTGAGAAGTTTTGTTATATATTTAAAGTTATGAAACCATCACCACAATCAAGATAATTATATACATTGTCTCCAAAAGTATCCTCCTGTGCCTCTGTGAAACCCCTCTTTCTTGATCTTTTCATGCTTGCTTTCCCCATACAGGTCCCTCGGCAAATCACTGGCCTGTTTCTGTCACTAGATATTAGTTTGCATTTTGTAGAACTCTGTATTAATTGAATCATACAGTGTATACTTTTGGGGTGGGGGGTGGAATCTGGCCATTTTCACTCTGAATAATTCAGAAGAATTGCATCTACCAGTAGTTCCTTTCTGTTTGTTGTTGGCAGTATTTAACTGTGTGAATATACCTTAACTTTTTTATCCATTCACCTGTAGTCGATATTTGGGTTGTTTCCATTTTGCACTTTTTTCAAATACAGCTGCTGATAATATCCTTGTATAGTTTTTGTGTGAACGTACATTTCACTTCACTTGGATAATACCTTGGAATGGTGTAGCTGGATCACATGGTACTCTTCTGATAGTGGGTTCTTTATCTACTTTTATATTTGAAAAAGCTTCATTTTTGAAAGAGACTTTCAGTATATTTAGAATTCGAGGTTCATGGTTTGTTTCCTCAGTACTTTAAAGATATTGCTTCTCTGTCTTGCTTTCATTGTTTCTAATGAGAAATCTGCTGCCAACCCTGATCTTGTTCTGTCTTTTATTCTCTGGTGGCTGTTAAAACTTTCTTTTTATCATTTGTTTTGAGAAGTTTAATTATGTTATGCTTTGGTGTAATTTCCTTATTTTTCTTTTCCTTAGTGTTTATTGAACTTCTTGGAAAGTTTCAAGCACATTATAGTTTTAATCACATTTGGAAAATTTTTAGTCATTATTTTTCCAAATGTATTTTCTGTTCTCTGTCTTCTCTACTTTTCATGAAGGACTTTAAGTACTCTTGTATTAGGACACTAGATGTTAAACTCACAGCTCACATATGTGTTTTTTGGGGATTTTTAATTTGTTTTTTGCCCTCCAAGTCTTTCCTTTCTGTCTTCTGTTTTTGATCATTTATATTGCTCAAGCTTCAAGTTCACCAGTCTTTTCTTTTGCAGTGTGAATGTGCCACCAATCCCATACAGTTTTTTTTTATTTTTTAATCTCAGACAATGTAGTTTTCACCTCGAGAAATTTTTTTCTCTTTTTTTTTCCCCTGATTTCTTTGATGTCTCTATTCAACATTTTAAACAGAATATATTTATAAATAACTGTGTGAATGTCTGCTAATCATAATATTTATATCAGTTTTATATTGGTTTTCATTTGGTTTTCTTTTTTAAATGTGTCATATTTTTCTGTTTATTTGCTTTCCTGGTATGATAGGCAGAATATTAAGAATGACTTCCAGAATCCCTCCCCTGTGAATATGATGGGGCATCACTTCTGTGATATGGCAAAGGAGAATTTTATATTTGTGATTAAGGTTACTACTCATTTGAGTTAATGTAACGGACAGTTATCTGAATCAGCTTAATACAATCACATGAGCCCCTCAAAAAGCAGAAAAATTTCCCTGGCCAAATATTATTATTAAAGCTACTCAGTTGGGTCTGATTCTTTGTGACCCCATGGACTAGTATAGAATTCTCCAGGCCAGAATACTGGAGTAGGTAGCCTTTCCCTTCTCCAGGGGATCTTCCAAATGCAGGGATTGAACCCAGGTCTCCCGCATTGCAGGCAGATTCTTTACCAGCTGAGCTACCAGGGAAGCCCAAGAATACTGGAGTGGGTAGCCTATCCCTTCTCCAGTGGACCTGCCCCACCCAGGAATTGAACCAGGGTCTCTTGCACTGCAGGTGGATTTTTTACCAACTGAGCTATGAGGGAAGCCCTCCCTGACCAATGGAAGAAGGGAAAATCAGAGAGATATGAATCATAAAAAGGATTTTATGTGCCCTTGCTGCCTTAGAGATGGGGTGGGATCACCTCTAGAACTTGAAAATAGCCGCTGGCTGTCAGTAGCAAGGAAATAGAATCCCTAGTCTTATGGCTTCAGGAAACTAGATTTTGCCAATAACCTGAATGAGCTTAGAAGCAGGTTCTTCTTCAGAACTTCCACATTAAGAACTCAGCCTGGCAGACACAAAGATTTCAGCTTTATGAAATCTTTAGCAAAGAGTGCAGACCCTACCACCCAAACTCTGACCTACAGAACTATTGGGTAATAAATGGGTGCTGCTTTAAGGCACTATGGTTGTGATAATTGGTAATACAGCAATAGAAAACAAATATACCTGGTAATCTCTGAATGAATGCCAGGCATTTTGAATTTTAGCTTGTTAGGTGCTGGATATTTTTGTATTCCTACAAATATTACAGATTTTTTTGAGCTTTATTCCAGGTCACAATTAAATTACTTAGAAACAGTTTCATCTTTTGGGTAATGCTTTTTTTAATTTTTATTTTTTTGAATTATTTTTGGCAGTGCTGGGTCTGCATTGCTGCACACAGGCCTTCTCTAGTCATGGCGAGCGGGCGCTACTCTTTGTTGTGGTGCCTAGGCTTCTCATTTATGTGGCTTTGCTTGTTACAGAACACAGGTTCTAGAGCCCACGGACTTCAGTAGTTGTGGCTCGAGGACTTAGTTACCCTGCGGCATGCAGAATCTTCCCAGGCCAGGATTAAACTCACATCCCCTGCATTGGCAGGTGGACTCTTAACCACTGGACTACCAGGGAAGTCCCTGGGTAATATGGGACTACAGTATTGTTTAGTTTAAGGGTAATTATTCTCTATTCCTGAATCAAGACTGAATACTTAGTCTGAGGAACCTTCTGTACTTCTCAGGAATTCTGTCTCTGGATAGCTGTATTTTTTCCCTTATGCTGGCTGTGAAGTCTAGCTCCCTCAGAGCAGTCTCAATACTCGTTTCTGTCTCCTTAACTCAGGTAGTCCACTTGGCTCCACCTGAGTTCCCCCTTTCGGTACTGATGTCCATTAGCCTTTAACACTTTCTTTTTTAAGTTGTTTGAGTTGAGAGTAAATACAGACTTTCTTTACTTTGCTGAAAGTCCTTTGGTTACTTTTAAATAATTAAAAACTTTAAATAAAATTAAGTTTTAATTACTTAAGTTTAATGGGACAGATTTTCCCAGGAAATACTCTTCCTAAAGTGCTTACTATATGCAGTATCTAAAATTTTAATACTGAAGAACCATTTAAAAATTTTAGTACACTAACTCTAGCCCAAATGATGACAAAGCCATATCTCCAGATGGCTAAGCTCAGTGGTCCTCCGTTTCATTTGAACACCTTTCATATGTATTTGCCTAAGGAAATAACAATTATTTTATGCTTGGATAATTATAGCCCATTATTATTTGACTAACTAAACTATTAAAGTGAAAAGATAATGTTATTTTTACATCTCAAATAGAACAGAAATCCATCTATTCAACCCCCCCAAAAAAAACCTATAATCGTTTTCTATGTTAACTGTGCAACTATTAAAAACAAATGTTACTCACATAGTCAGATTTCCTTGTTTCTAATTTCTGTATGTCTGTTTTAATAGGCATATTATTTAGCTTTATATTTCCCCTCCCACGTGTTTTATCCACATAATTCTGTAATTCTTCCATGTAATTACAGAAGTGACTATTCATATACACTAGAAGATGATGTAACTAGTTTTGTTCTGTGCCCTGTAGACAGCTTTTGGGAAGTGCTTTTCTTGCTATAAATTTTTTTTATAGTTGTCTTAAGTGAGAGTTTTTAATAAGTTTCTCTAAATGAAGCAGGAAAGAAGATAGTTACCTCAGAGAACCTCTGGGAGAAGAGATTTTGTTATTTTAGCAAACATTTCCCCCCTCTATTTCTTAATAGTTAACAAAGACATAATTCTATGTGTGGAGAATTGATGTTTTTCTTACTTGATACTTAAATGTGCTATAGGTACTTTGGAAGTTCGTCTTATGGGCTGTCAAGATATCCTAGAGAACGTCCCTGGACGGTCGAAAGCAGCATCAGTTGCGCTACCTGGTTGGAGTCCAAGTGAGACCAGATCATCCTTCATGAGCAGAACGAGTAAAAGTAAAAGCGGAAGTAGTCGAAATCTCCTAAAAACTGATGACTTATCCAGTTCAGTAATCAGATTTTTTTTTTTTTTTAACAATTCAAATAACAAGTTAAAGTCCTATACAGAGGGCTAAGCAGTGGGGACAGAAGAGTGAGAAGAATCAAAGTTGGACAGCAGACTTTAAAATTATGATTTCCATAGTTTGAAATATCAAAAGCTGCAATGACAGGAAAATTTAAAAGGCTACAAAATTTACCATACTGAAAATGTTGGAAAACTGAATGACATATAGCATTCATTTCTTTGGAATAATGAAATACTGAACATCACTCTTTATGACAAACTGTGTCACATCTTGATTCTTTAAATGGAATAATGACACTGCTAAAGTAATGAAGAAATTTTGATAAATAACCATGTTAAATTAGGATTATAGCCTAGTGTCCAAGAAGTAAACTAAAATGGGGGAGTGGATAAAGGTGGTAAGAATAAAATATAAGAGGTTTATGAAAGTACTTTGGAGATACTCTAAAGTAGTCATAAACTATGATATAAATATATAACCGGTGGGAAAGGCATGTAACAATTCAGCCTAGTACAGTATATCTGCTTTCCTGTATGTGGAGAGAGACTTTAGGAAAAATGTAAAAATAAAAATCGTTTGAGGTAACAACCTTAATAACAAATGCAGAGGGAGAAAAACCAGGTGACTGATAATGATATATAAAAACACACCCACACATACATGTGGTGAACAGCTACTGGCCCCCTGTCAGTCCTTTCAGTCATTTTCTGATATAGACGAAATACCAATTACTATTTGTATTTTTGTAAAACACAAAAGATATCTTGGAAGGGTCTAGTAGGAGTGTGTGTGTGTGTTTATACACAGCTAGCTGTTTAAGATTTAAAAGCTTCAGTAGTGAGTAAGAAAAACTTATTTTCGAAGTATCATAAAACTTTTGTTGACATTAAACAGTGTTATTTCTATTTTTAAAGGTTTTAAAATACTTAGTCAAATTTTAAATTGTAATTACAGATGATGTCTGTGCAGTTTTGAAGCTGGACAATACTGTGGTTGGTCAAACTAGCTGGAAACCCATTTCCAATCAGTCATGGGACCAGAAGTTTACACTGGAACTAGACAGGGTAAGATGAGAAATTTTTTACCTGAATTTTCATTATATTTATAATTTATTTTTCATGTATATTTTATGTTTTAGAAGAGTTTGATAAATTTTATTCTTAACAGAATCCAAGAAGAACCTAGGTATTTTTGACATTTCTCATCTGATGAGGTATATATAAATCTACCTTATCAGATTGCTGCAGAAGCTTTCATTTGTGCAGTGATTTGAAAATATATACTTTGTACTAACCTGAAAGATCTACAACCAGGTGAGATCTAATATTGAACTATTTTTTGAATTTTAATAATGTGCTCTCTAAGGAGATTTTTCTGACTCAGCATTTGTGGGTTATATTATCAAAGCTGGATTTGAAGTGAACTGTTATGCTCAGACAGACATTCCTCCATGTATCTCAGTGGATTTCATGGATACTGTGAGTGGCTGGAATGTAATCTATAGCTGCAGAACCCAGCAGAAATAAACTTGGTCTAGAGTAGAGTTAAATCCATGGTGATAATTTTACTTACATTCTGATTTATCCATTAGTGTGTGGGAAGAAAATATTAAAATTTAATCATAATTTTATCTAAATGATAAGAAAGATGTTTTTATCATTTAGTATTCAGGTTAATGGTACATATGTCTTTAAAAAATTACATATATTAGTTAAAGCAGATTTATATAGTGCTTAATGGTGATATGAGGTGGCTTTTAAAATATTTTTTCCAGTTTATTTCTTTTCTATCTCAGAGGCAGCATCTTAACCAGGCCCTCACCATTGCTTTTCTTGGTTCAAATACTCTGTCGGCCACTTAAATGTATTTGGACAAAATGCTTAACTTTTTGTGTATGTCAGTTTCCTTATCTTTAATACTATCCACCTCACTGAAGGGCTCTCCTGGTGGCTCAGCAGTCAGAGAATCTGCCTGCAATAAAGGAGGCACAGGTTTGATTTCTGGGTCAGGGAGATTCCCCTGGACAGGGAAATGGCAACCCACTCCAGTATTTTTGCCTGAGAAAGCCCATGGACAGAGGAGCCTGGCCCACTACAGTCCATGGGGTTGCAAGGGTGGGATATGACTTAGTGACTAAACTACCACCACTAGAGAGCTTTTGATAGGGAAATTGACATCTGATTTAGAGATCAGATATAAATAATACAAATATTGTTGATGTTGTTCAGTCACTAAATAGTGTCCAACTCTGCAATCCCATGGGCTGCAGCATGCTGGGTTTCTCTGTCCTTCACTGTCTCCCGGAGTTTGTTCAAACTCATATCCATTGAGTCAGTGAAGTCATCCAACCATCTCATCCTCTGTCACTCCCTTCTCCTCTTGCCCTCAGTCTTTCCCAGCATCAGGGTCTTTTCTGATGCTCCTGGAAGAGCTCATTTCCAGAGTCGGCTCTTTACATCAGGTGGCCAAAGTATTGGAGCTTCAGCATCAGTCCTTCCAATGAATATTCAGGACTGATTTCCTTTAGGATTGACTGGTTTGAACTCCTTGCAGTCCAAGGGACTCTCAAGAGTCTTCTCTAGCACCACAGTTAAATGCATCAGTTTTTTGGCACTCAGCCTTCTTTATGGTTCAACTCTCACATTTGCGCATGACTACTGGAAAAACCGTATCTTTGACTATACAGAGCTTTGTTGGCAAAGTGGTGTCTCTTCTTTTTAATATGCTGTCTATGTTTGTCATAGCTTTTCTTCCAAGGAGCAAGTGTCTTTTAATTTCATGGCTTACAGTCACCATCTGCAGTGATTTTGGAGCTCAAGAAAATAAAGTCTGTCACTGTTTCCATTGTTTCCCCATCTGTTTGTCATAGTGATGGGATCGGAGGCCATGATCTTCGTTTTTTAAATGTTGAGTTTTAAGCCAGCATTTTTACTCTCCTTTTTCACCTTTATTAAGAGACTCTTTAGTTCCTCTTTGCTTTTTGCCATTAAGGTGGTGTCATCTGCATATCTGATATTGTTGGTGTGTCTCCCAGCAATCTTAATTCCAGCTTGTGATTCATCCAGCCCAAGATTTCACATGATGTTCCTTGAATGTAAGTTAAATAAGCAGGGGCTTCCTTGGTGGCTCAGACTGTAAAGAATCAACCTGCAGTGAGGGAGACCTGGGTTCAGTCCCAGGATTGGGAAGATCCCCTGGAGGAGGGCATGGCAACCCACTCCAGTATTTTTTGGAGCTTCCCTGGTAGCTCACTTGGTAAAGAATCTGCCTGCAGTATAGGAGACTTGGGTTGGATCCCTGGGTAAGGAAGATCTTCTGGAGAAGGAAATGGCAACCCACTCCAGTATTCTTGCCCATGGACCAAGGAAGCTGGCAGGGTGACAATTCACAACTTTGATGTACTCCTTTCCCAATATAAATATAGAAGCTAATAAAAAAGTAACTAGCCCATAATGGGGAAAAGTTTATAAAGGAAGAAAAAAAAAAGCTCTAACAATCAAATCTTAAGCAGTATCCCTAGCATAGGAAAAGAAGGAAGATTTGCCAAGGAAAAGTAGAAAACTCGGTGGAATCAGATCATAACCTTATGAAAACTTATCCAGTATCTAGTGAAGAGTTGCTAGGATGGTGAGATGATGAAATTCCTGTTACAAATGAAACACTTGAAAGAAAATGGGATTTAAAATCAATTATAGATTTAACTAAGATTTGGTAACTGTCTTTAAAGTGAAAAGGAGGGGCTTCCCTTGTGACTCAGAAGTAAAGTATCCACCTGCGAATGCTGGAGACATAGGTTTAATCCCTGATCCGGGAGGATCCCACATGCCTCAGAGCAACTGAGCCCCTGCACCACAACTGTTTAGCCTGTGCTTTGGGAGCCACAACTATTGAGCCCATGTGTTACAACTACTGAAAGCCCGTGTGCCCTAGAGCCCATGCCTGCAACAAGAAGAAGCCACAACAGTGAGAATCCAATGCACTGCAACTGGAGAGTAGCCCCCACTTGCTGCAGTTGTTAGGTTGGTACAAAAGTAATTGCAGTTTCAGACCATGAATTTTAAATCATTATGATTAGGCTCAAACCCATTTTTAGTTATCAAAATAGGAATCATTGCAATCAACACATTTTTGCCAATGAGAAATAAGATTGTTTATTCTTGTACCATAAAAATTCGTGCTTCAGGATTCAGTAAGCTTTTTGAAAGCATTTTCTTCCTCCCGCTAGTTGTGTGTTTTCCCTGCATAAAGTTGTTGAGATGCTTGAAGAAATGGTAGTTGGTTGGTGAGAGGTCAGATGAGTATAGTGGATGAGGCAAAACTTCGTAGCCCAATTTGTTCAACTTTTGAAGTGTTGGTTATGTGATTACACGGTCAGGCGTTGCTGTGGAGAATTGGGCCCTTTTTGTTGACCAGTGCTGGCTGCAGGCATTGCAGTTTGGTACATCTCATCGATTTGCTGAGCATCCTTCTCAGATATAATGGTTTCTCTGGGATTCCAAAAGCTGTAGTGGCTCAAACTGGAAGCAGATCACCAGAAACCATGACCTTTTTTTGGTGCAAGTTTGGCTTTTGAAAGCATTTTGGAGCTTCTTCTCAGTCCATCAGCTGAACTGGTCATTGCTGGCTGTCATACAATCCACTTCTTGTCGAATGTCACAATCTAATTGAGAAATGGTTTGTTGTTCTTATGAACAGTGAGAGAAGACATGCTTAAAACAACGATTTTTTTGATTTGCAGTCAGCTCATGAGGCACCCACTTATCGAGCTTTTTCACCTTTCTGATTTGCTTCAAATGCCAAATGACTATAGGATGCTTGACGTTGAGTTCTTCAGCAACTTTGCACATGGTTGTGAGGGGATTGGCTTTGATGACTGATCTCAGTTGGTCGTTGTCAACCTCCAATTGCCAGCCACTATGCTTTCCTCTCCTTTGCAAAACTTCTTGAACCACCACTGCACTGTCTGTTTATTAGCAATTCCTGGGCCAAACGCATTGTTAATGTTCCGAGTTATCTTTGCTGCTTTATGAACTTGAATAAAAAAGTCACTCAAATAAAAATTATCACTTGAATTTGCTTTTTGTCTATCATCATTTCTATAGTTTAGAATAAATATAAAATAAACCTCAATTATTAAGTCATCAGCAAAAAACATAAAGTAAGAAATGTACATTAAAGTCATGTATAACGTTGTTCTTCAGTCACTAAGTCATGTCCAACTCTTTGCGACCCCAAGGACTGCAGCACACCAGGCTTCCCTGTCCTTCACCATCTCCTATGGTTTGCTCAAGCTCATGTCCATTGAGTCAGTGATGCCATCCAACCATCTCATCACTTGTCATCCCCTTCTCCTCCTGCCTTCAATCTTTCCGGCATCCAGGTCTTTTTCAGTGAGTTGGCTCTTCACGTCAGGTGGCCAAAGTATTGGAGCTTTAGCTTCAGCATCAGTCTTTCCAATGAATATTCAGGGTTGATTTCCTTTAGGACTGACTGGTTTGGTGTCCTTGCTGTCCGAGGGATTATCAAGAGTCTTCCCCCACACCACAGGTTGAAGGCATCAGTTCTTTGATGCTCAGCTTTCTTTATGGTCCAACTCTTAACATCTGTATATGACTACTGGAAAAACCATAGCTCTGCCTATATGGACCTTTGTAGGCAAAGTAATGTCTCTGTTTTTTTAATCTTTGTCTAGGTTTGTCATTGCTTTTCTTCCAAGGGGCAAGCGTCTTTCAATTTCATGACTGCATGAAATTTATACATCATGAAATTAAATTTATATGTCATGAAATTAAAGGAGCAGGAGTCACCACATTTATTTAAGAATGTATTCCAGTTTGGTTCATTTGCTCAGTCATGTCCGACTCTTCGCGACCCCATGAATCACAGCACGCCAGGCCTCCCTGTCCATCACCAACTCCCAGAATTCACCCAAACTCATGTGCATCGAGTTGGTGATGCCATTCAGCCATCTCATCCTCTATCGTCCTCTTCTCCTGCACCCAGTCCCTTCCAGCATCAGGGTCTTTTCCAATGAGTCAACTGTTCACATGAGGTGGCCAAAGTA